CAAGCCCTTGCCTGCCAGGCCTCACTGCAGACCAGTGGCCTCCAGGTGGCCTTGAGATCTGAGACCCAGACACACCTGCCCCTGCGGCACACAGGCGCCCAGCTCAGTCCCGGCCAGTGTATATCTCTTCTCCTCCCTCCTCCAGACCTCAATGGCCAAGGCCAAGGCTAGGCCAGGTGCCAGCTTGTCAGGGAGACTGATTAAAGCAGCTTTTCCGGGGGGTGGGGTGGGGAGGGGGAGGTTTGGTGTCCTTGGCCTGGAGTGGAAATCAATAAGCAATTGTTTTTCTCTTGGCAAGAAAAGCAAATCTCCATTAATGCTCTCAGGTGCTGCCAGGCTCGCTTTCTTTTCAGGAACTCTGCCGCCCTGGCACAGGTGGCTCTGGGTGGGAGGACGGGCCACACGGCCAGGGCTCCGGAAGCCACATAAGAGCAGGTTGGCCCTAGCTGGTTTGGCTCAGTGGATAGAGCATCGGTCTGCAGACTGAAAGGTCCCGGGTTCAATTCCAGCCAAGGGCACATGCCCGAGTTGTGCACTGGATCCCCAGTGGGGGGCACGCAGGAGGCAGCTGATCAATGATTCCCTCATCATTGATGTTTCTCTCTCTTACTCTCCCTTCTTCTCTGAAACCAATCAATAAAAATATATTTAAAAAAAAACAGGCTGGTCTCTTGGACATCAGTACCTCCTAGGAACATTCTGGAACACAGCCTGGCAGGTAGTAAGCATTGAATAGGCATTTGTGGAAATAATAGCTTTTTGATCACTTGACCATGTACCAGGCAGGATACTGAGTGAGGGTTCATTTAATAGTCCTCAGGACTATTGGGTGAGTGCCCATTTTATAGATAAGAACACTGAGGCCGAGAGAGGCTAAGTCACTTGTCCATGGCGAGCTCAAGCAGTTTAACTTCAGGGGCCCTGCTCTTCCCCTCCTGGGAGACAAGGACCATAAAAGGGATATGTAATATAATAGCAGCAGGGTCACAGAGAACGTTGAACTTGGGTTTTATTCTTTAACTGATAGGGAAGCCAAGACAGGACCCCCTGCTCTTCCCCTCCTGGGAGACAAGGACCATAAAAGGGATATGTAATGTAATAGCAGTGGGGTCACAGAGAACGTTGAACTTGGGCTTTATTCTTTAACTGATAGGGAAGCCAAGACAGGACCACAGTTAAGACTTCTTTCTCAGATATTCTGATGCACTGTCCCCCTCTCTCACCCCACAGATAGCCTTATCATCCTAAGTCCCACCATGGCTACAGTTGCCTTCTTTTCAATTTTTACTTTTAAACTAAAGGTACATACAGTGAAAAGTAAGCCCCTCCCACCTAGTTTCCACACTTCTGCAAACCAAGGGAGGCCACTGTTAACCATTTTCTCGTATCTCTTTCCAGAAAAATGCTATGCACGTGCAATCATGAACGCATGTATGGCCTTTCCCCCTACGCCAGCAGCAGCATACTAATGCGTTCGTTTCCCCCCTGTAATAAATGGTGTGTCTTGGAGCTAATTCACATTAGGGTGTGTAGAGTCACCTCTTTTAAAAGAAAAGCATGGTTTTCTCCTGGGGTATGTGCACCTCATTTTCATTTTATTTACTCAGTCCCCTGTGGATGGCCCTTTCAAACCACATTACCAAAACCTTCTCATTTTTTTTCTGTGTGTATGAGATTGCCTGTAGATAAATACTCGGGTGCGGAATTGCTAAAGTCAAAGGTCTGCATTTGGGATTTTGCTAAATATTGGTGAATTTCTCTTTGTAAGGATGGTGCCAATTCATACTCCCTGTGGCCTCACCAAAATAGAGTTGTTGTTATATTTTTTGTCCTTGTCTATCCCATAGTTGGAAAAAGTGGTTTTCATTGCAGTTTTACGATGATTTCCTTTTTTCATTTTCACTGAGGATATTTTTTCCCATTGGTTTTTAGACAGTAGAAGGTAGGGGGAGGGGCAGAGGGAGAAACATAGATTTGAGAGAGAGACATGGATTGGTTGCCTCCCGACCGGGGCCGGGGATCAAGCCTACAACCCAGGTACATGCCCTTGACTGGAATTGAACCTGTGACCCTTCAGTCTGCAGGCTGACGGTCTAACCACTGAGAAAAACTGGTTAGGGTTTATTTTCTTGATTTTGGTAAAATATACATAACAGGAAATTTACAATTTTAATCATTTTTTTATGTGTATAATTTAGTGGTTTTAGTTAAATTCACAATGTTGTGCAACCATCATCACTACTTCTAGAATTTTTTTATCACCTCAAACAGAAATTCTGTACCCCACAAGCAAGGATTCCCTGTTCCCCGCTCCACCAGCCTCTGCTAACCTCTACTTTCTGTCTCTATGAATTTGCCTACTCTTGGTATCTCATGTAAGTGAAATCATACGGTGTTTGTCTTTTAATATCTAGCTTGTTTCACTTAGCACATGTCAGAACTTCATTCCTTCTTTATGGCTGAATAATATTGCATTGTATGGTTAGACCACATTCTGTTTATCCATCATCAGTTGATGGGCCCTGCTAACCTCTACTTTCTGTCTCTATGAATTTGCCTACTCTTGGTATCTCATGTAAGTGAAATCATACGGTGTTTGTCTTTTAATATCTAGCTTGTTTCACTTAGCACATGTCAGAACTTCATTCCTTCTTTATGGCTGAATAATATTGCATTGTATGGTTAGACCACATTCTGTTTATCCATCATCAGTTGATGGACACTTGGGTTGTTTCCACCTTTTGGCTATTGTGAGTAATGCTGCTGTGTCTGTGTATCTGTTTGAATCCCTGCTTTCCATTCTTTTGGGTATATACTTAGGGGAAGACTGGCTGGGCCACGCGGTCATTCTATGTTGAACGTTTTGAGGACCCACCAAACCATTTTATGGAAGTTTGACTCTGTAATTCTCCTAACAGCGGCCACGCATCTTGTCACATGATTGGCTTTTTGTTGTTCTTTTCCTGTGAACTCTGTATTCATAAATTGTGCCCGTGTCCAGGCTGGGACACATGGTTATTTCCTCATGGCTGTTTCGTTGGTCTTTCCTCGCTGCATGAGAGCAGGGAGCCCATCTGCCTACATCCCTATCTAAATGGGCTGACATAGAAGCTGTTCCTGAAATACCTCTTTTACAATGGTCCCAGGAGGGCCAGTGACATTTCTCTGCCCCTCTTCCACTTCCTCCAGGGAGCCCTGGCTTTCTGCTCCCATCTGTACCTTCCTCTTTATCCCCTCACTGCCACCCAGTGTCATCAGGAGATAATTTATTCATAACATCTCTCCACTCAGCACCTTTGTAATGTGGTGATCAGCACGGAGCTGGCACCGTCCACATCTGGGGAGGTGCTCCCCGAGTCCCAGCAGCACCTGTGACAATTGTCCAGCAGAATTGGTTGAGCACGTGAACCAAAGTTTAATAATCTTCCGTCCCAGAGACGGAAGGAATTGACAATCTTCAGGGAGTGCATCGGTCTTTTTTAAAAATTAACCATTTAAAAATATACAAGGCAGTGGCATTTAGTACATTCACAATCTATCCAGTTCCAGAACATTTTCCTCACCCCAAAAGGAAACCCTGTCCCGGTTAGCAGTCACGCCCATTCTGCCCAACACCTCCCCAGTCCTAGGCAGCCACTAACCTCCTCTCTGTCTCTGAGGATTTGCCTATTCTAGGCGTTTTGTATAAATAGAATCATACAGATGTGACCTTTGGTTCTGGCTTCCTTCGCTTAGCGTGATGATTTTGAAGTGCATCTAGATGGTAGCACATGCCAGGGTTTCGTTTCTTTTTAGGCCCGAATCATATTGCATTGTGTGGCTGGGTCCTGTTGTGCTTTATCCGTTCATCTGTGGATGGACGTGGAGGTTCTATACCTCGGAACAGAGTTGCTCGGTCATGTGGTACTTCTCTGTTTAATTTTTTGAGGAACCACCAAGCTGTTTTGATATCCATGTTCTTGACCTCATGTTTGCCTCACATCTGGCAGGCACCAGCCGGGGCCTGAACTAGGAAAACAGCGCCTGGCTCCTTGGGTAACACAAACGCCCTGGCTCCCACTGTCCGGGCACCCATCCTTTGTCCGATGTGACCCCTGACCCCCACGTCTTGGTTGAGGATCGTTGGCCAGGAGACCCAACTGCTGTGTACGTGGGCTTTGCATTAGGAGACCTTGGACAAAATCCCTTTCCTTCTCTCAGGCCTCAGCTTCTTCGCCTTTTACAGTATGGGGCTATGACAGCCAACCAGCAGCCTCGTGTGCTTGTGAGATTATGCTGATGTGCAGATGTTTTGTAAACTGTGAAGTGCTGTTTGAATCATCCCCATGGTGAAGTGATGCAGACTGGAGGTGTTCCATTTGGCCTACCCAGCGTTCAAAAATATTTGAAAGAATTGCTAATTAAAAAAAAAAGAAATCGTGAGATCTCATCTAACATTCTGGGTTTAGGGCTTTTTTTGAAGAAAAAAAAAGGGGGGGGAAACCGGGCAGTACTAGGCCCAGATTCCTGCTTAGCAATAGCTGGCTTGAGCTGGAAATAGCTGCCCCCCTCTGCAGGGGACCTGCGTGCTCTATTTTGGGGTTTTCTCATACTTGGTTCCTTCTGAAATTGAGTTTGGAATTCTTTTTCTTTTTTTTTAATTATCACCCGAGGATATGTTTTTATTGCTTTTTAGAAAGAGAGGAACATTGATCGGTTGTCTCCTGTATATGCCCAGACCGGGGATTGTACCCTCAACCTAGGTATGTGCCCTGACCAAGAATCAAACTCACAACCTTTTGGTGTATGGGTTGGCACCCAACTAACTGAGCCTCCCGGCCAGGGTGAGTTTGGAATTCTTGTTTTATGTGTGAGGAGGGGCTTTTAAAACAAGGAAATGTGGTGTGTTCGTTTCTGTGTAGACTCAGAGATCAGGTTTCGCAAGGTTTTTTTAGGATGTCAACCCAGGCCCCAGCCTGGGCCAGCAGCAGGGTGGGCGCTGACCCTTCCTCTCTCTGCAGGTGGCACCGCTGCTCATGGGACTGCCCCGGAGTGTCCTTGTCAGATGAGGTCCACGCATGCACCATGTCATCATGTGTCTCTAGTCAGCCCAGCAGTGACCCGGCCGCCCCCCAGGATGAGCTGGGGGGCGGGAGCAGCAGCAGCAGCAGCGAAGGCCAAAAGCCTTGCGAGGCCCTGCGGGGCCTCTCGTCCCTGAGCATCCGACTGGGCATGGAGTCCTTCATCGTGGTCACCGAGTGCGAGCCGGACTGCGCTGTGGACCACGGCCTGGCCCCGGACCCGCTCCTGGAGGCTGATGGCCCAGAAGGCCCCCTCGACGCTGGGTCCCAGGCCCGACCCCACCTCTCCAGTCGCAAGCTGTCCCTGCAGGAGCGGTCCCAGCTGGATGCGAATGGCCGCTGCATCCACCCGGCCCAACCCTCCTCACCCGTGGGCTCCCCGCAGTCCTCGCCACGGCTGCCCCGGCGGCCCACCGTGGAGTCACGCCACGTCTCCATCACTGGTATGCAGGTGCGTGAGCGACAGCTGGGCCCGGGGTCTCCATGTTAGATCGGCTCCCCCAGAACATTCCCAGTGCAACCAGCTGACTGGGGAGGTGACCCCAGAAAACCCAGGTGGGGAGGGAAGCGAGAGGGAAGGAAGTCAGCTAAGGATGCAGTCATGGAGCTGGTTGCCAGGGGGGAACATGGGAGGCAGGTAGAACTAAGTCTGAGTTATCCCACCTGAGGGCAGGGGAGCAAGGCCGGGTGGGTGACCTGCCCTGAGTGTGAGCAGAGCATCTGGGGGCCAGAGAGAGCCTCTCGCAAAGAGATGCATGTGCTGGTGGTTGGATTCGTGTGGGGGGCTCTGAACTGGGGGTGGCAGGTCCCTGAGAGGCCTCATGGCCTTACAGCCTGGCCCCCTGGCTGGGTGGTTTGCTAGCGCCAGGCACTGCGCTCAACACTGTGTGCATTTCTCATCCGATCCTTGCTGTGAACTGCTGGGAGGTAGATCAGAACTCAGATCCCCACCAGGTTCACGGGCCCTGTGTGATCTGCCCCGTCTCTTCTCCTGCCTCATCTCCTGCCTTTCTGCTGGCGACTCACAGACCTCCATCCACACTCACTTCCTTATATTCTTCAGGTAGCCAAGCTTCTTCCCTTCCTTAGGCCCATAGCTTTGCCGTCTCCTCTGCTTGGAACTTCTCCCGTCTTTGCAAGGTCACCTCCATCTGACATCCAAGTCTCTACTCAAATGTCACCTCTGAAAGGCCCCAGACTACCCTCTCTAAGCAGCCTGTCCTTTTGCCCTGTTGACTCATCACCGTTACGTCTTGTGTTTGTTTAGTTGCTTATGGCCTGTCTCCCCCCAGCTAGAATGTAAGCTCCGTAGGGACAGTCTTGTTCCCCATTGTGTCCCCAGCGCTCACCTCACACAGTGCCTGGCACGTAGTAGGAGCTTGAAAATGTTTGTTGAAGGAAGGAATGAATGAATTTAATTGGGAGAAGCCTGGAAATCAGGAATGGCATTTATAAAGGGGCTGATATTTAACTACATTTTGAGGGCCATCACCCCAATCAAGATCACAGGCTTTGCCAGCACACCCAGCAATGCATCCCTCCCCCCACTTCACTTTCCCACATAACTGCTGACCTGGTGTGTTGTTGTTGTTTTAAAATATATTTTTATTAATTTCAGAGAGGAAGGGAGAGGGAGAGAGAGAGATAGAAACATCAATGATGAGAGAGAGTCATTGATTGGCTGTCTCCTACATGCCCCCTACTGGGGATCAAGCCCGTAACCAGGGCATGTGCCCTTGACGGAATCGAACCAAGGACCCTTCAGTCCACAGGCCGACGCTCTATCTACTGAGCCAAACTGGCTAGGGCCTACTGACCTGGTTTTTATCATCATAGATTAATTTGCAAGTTCTAGGATTTTATGCAAGTGGAATTGTTTAAGCACGTAGTCTCTTTTAGCTTAGCTTCTTTCACAGTCTAATGATGCTGAGGTTTGTCCACGCTGTTGCAGACACCAGTAGTTCCTTCCTTGTTATTGCTAAACAGAACTCTACTGTTCAGATATGCCCCAGCTTGTTGGATGTTTGGGTTGTTTCCAGCTTTCGGCTTTTCCAAATAAAGCTGTCGTTAACATTTGTACACAAGCCTTTGCCTGGATATGTGTTATAATTTCTCATGGGTAAATGCCTAGGAGTAGAATGGCTGGATCATATGGTAAATGTATGTTAAGATATTGCCAAACTGTTTTCTTTTTTTAATATATATTTTATTGATTTCAGAGAGGAAGGGAAAGGGGGGGAGAGAGAGAGAGAGAGAGAGAGAGAGAGAGAACGAGAGAGAGAGAAACATCAATGATGAGAGATAATCATTGATCGGCTGCCTCCTGCACGCCCCTACTGGGGATTGAGCCCACAACCTCGGCATGTGCCCTGACTGGGAATTGAACCGGTGACCTCTTGGTTCATAGGTTGTCGCTCAACCACTGAGAAACACCAGCCAGGCCCCCAAAACTGTTTTCTAAAGAGGCTGCACTGCCCTAGCTGGTTTGGCTTAGTGTATAGAGTGTCAGGCCTCAGACTGAAGGGTCCCAGGTTCGATTCTAGTACCTCAGTTGCAGGCTCAATTCCCGGGGCACGTGCAGGAGACAATCAATTAATGTGTCTCTCTCACATTGATCTATCTCTCTCTCTCTCTCCCCTCCACCCCCCGCCTCTCTTCCACTCTCTCTCAAAATCAATGGAAGAATATGCTTGGTGTGGATTAAAAAAATAAAGAGGCTGCACCTTTTAAATTCCCACCGGCAGTGTATGAAGGTTCTATATGCCCTAAATTCTTTGGTCAGTCTTCTTGATTTTAACTAATCTATTGGGTGTGGTTTAAATTTCTATTTCTCCATTGATTAATGCTTCTTAGTCATTTGTGTCTTCTTTGGAGAAATTTTTTCCAAATCTTTTGCCTATTTTTATTTTTTAAAAATATATATTTTATTGATTTCAGAGAGGAAGGGAGAGGGAGAGAGATATAGAAACATCAATGATGAGAGAGAATCACTGATCGGCTACCTCTTGCACGCCCCGTATTGGGGATCGAGCCTGCAACCCAGCATGTGCTCTTGACTGGAATCGAACTCAGGACCATGCTCTATCCATTGAGCCAAACTGGCTAGGGCTCTTTCACCCATTTAAAAAAACATATTGGGTTGTCTTCTTATTAATGAGTTGTGAGAGTTCTTTATATATTCTGGATACCAGTCCTTTATCTGATATATGTGTTGCAAATAGTTTCTTTTAGTGTGTGGCTTGCTGTTCATTTTCTTTAACAGTATCTCGAAGAGCAAAAGTTTTAATTTTGATGAAGTCCAGTTAATGATTTGTTTCCTTTTATGTTCTGTACTTTATATATATTATCTAAGAAACCTTGTCCCAAGGGCACGACTTGTATCATTTTACATTTCTATAGGACAACGTGGTCATGGATTACTTGTTTAATTTAAGCAAGTAATTTAAATTAATTTAAAGTGAACTTTTTATAAGTGGGTACAATCTTTTAAAGATGGCTATTAAGAGAGTCCAAACTTTGATTACGTATTTGCAATGTACAAGAGCTGCTGTTAGAAGTCGGGACACTGGTCACCCTGCGGAGGGGCCGGTGGCTGGGGATGCTTCTGGGGGGCTGGGAATGCCCTCTTTCTTTCTTTTCTTTAAAATTTTAAAAAATATGTTTTTGTTGATTTTAGAGAGAGAGAAAGGGAGAGGGAGAGAGAGATAGAAACACCCATGAGAGAGAAACATCGATTGGCTGCCTCCTGCCCTACTGGGGATGGAGTCCACAACCCGGGCATATGCCCTGACCTGGAATCGAACCAGCAACCTCTTGGTGCTTGGGTCAGTGTTCATTTCACTGAGCAACACCAGCTGGGCAATGGCCCTCTTTCTTGATGTTTGTGACAGGTTTATCTAGTTGCAAACTTACAGTTCATGTTCTGTGTGTTTCTGTTTACTTTCCAGGATTGTGTTCAGCTGAACCAGTACACACTGAAGGATGAAATTGGAAAGGTAAGTATCCTAGGAGCCAGGATGTCTCAGATACTGTGTGTGTGTGTGGGGGGGGGGGGGGGGGGGGGGGGCAGCCATCAGAGCTGGGAGTGCGAGAGGAGTCCTTGGAGGCAAGGGTGCGGGCCAGGTTTTGGGATCAGGGTCTTATTTGTTTTTATATCATAATACTAATGTGTTTCTGCAAAAGCACAGAAAGTGTCCAGAGAAATCCCCTATCACTACGGTGATAGTTATAGCATCCCCATATTAGTGTTGCTTTATTCTCCCCTAAGGTACTCTCACATCTGTTTTTGCTTTTGTTTCAGCCAATGGGCAGTATCGTTACAGGGGTCAAAAACTCACACGCCACTAGAAGGGGTCAATGGGGGAAAGAAGGGGGACATCAGTAATACTTTCAACAATAAAGATCGATTTTTAAAAAGCTCACATGTCAATAGAGAGCTAATATAAATGAGCAGAGCATCCTAGGTATGGCAGCCGGGAGTGGTGAGGTCTGTGGCAAACTAACATATGGCAATGATTATTGGCTTCATACGGTCAGATCGTCTGAGGCTGGGAATTTAGATTCTTATATCCAGTCTTTCTGTTTTGGCAACTAATTAAAACTTTCTAAAAACTATGGATCCAACAAAATGCAATTGCAGGGAAGATTTGGCAGATCATAATTTTTTATTGTGTGTCATGGTCATCTCCCTTTATCCAGGGCTCCTATGGCGTGGTCAAGTTGGCCTACAATGAAAATGACAACACCTACTATGTGAGTATTCACATCCTTCTCCACCCCCATCCTTGTCCAAAGACAAAGACCTCCTTTTCTTATTTATTTATTCATTTTTTGTTCATCTTCACAAGAGGATATTTTTCCATTGACTTTTTAGAGAGAGGAGAGAGAGAAACATCAATGTGAGAGAGACACATCGATTGGTTGCCTCCCACCCACGCCCTGACCAGGGCTGGAGATGGAACCTGCAATGGAGATACATGCCCTTGACCGGAATCGAACTTGGGAACCTTCAGTCTGTGGTCCAACGCTCTATCCACTGAGCCAAACAGGCTAAGACAAGACCTCCTTTTCAGCACTCAGCTTCCTGGAAGGTTTTCTTAGCTGTTGTGTCATTTTATTGTTAGGTCATGTCCATTTTGTGCATTAGGAAGGAAGTGGTATTTCTGTTTTACAGATGGGGACATAGGGAGGTGAAGGGATGGCTTAGGAAGAATGAATGAATGAATGAATGAATGAATGAATGAAAGCAGCAGACGTCTCATATCCTTACTCTGGGCTGCCATTTCTACATCCTCCATAGCCTTAAGAACCAGGAGGTAGTGAGCCAAACAGCCCTTGTAGCTGAGGCTTTGGAGTCAGTCCAATGTGGGTTCAAATCCTGCCTCTCTCGTGTGTCAACTGCGTGACCTTGAACAAGTGGCATAACTGCTAAACCTCACTTTTCCCACGTGTCAAACAGCCAGTCCTGCCCCATCACCCCAGCTCACTCACGTCTCGTTCAGTGGCGGCGAAGCCCACGGCTTGTGCCCTTTTAGCTGGGGAAGCTGACCTGGAGCCCTGGAAGCACCCTCAGGGCTGGAGGGACCCTGGGAGGCCAACCTCCACAGAACCTGCTGCTGCTTGACCCCCTCTGGTCACAACATTGTCCCCAAACAGCCAGGGAGCCAAGAGCTTGGGCAAGCCTACGCGAGGAGGGAACTCTCCCCGCCGCTCTCCTCTGCGCTTTAATCAGGACGCGGGGTCTTTTCTCCCACAGGCGATGAAGGTGCTATCCAAAAAGAAGCTGATCCGACAGGCCGGCTTTCCACGTGAGTTTGGGGGGCCTTTCTCTTAGGTGCAGGGGCTGGGGCAACACAGAGACGGTCCCAGTGAATGGTGTCCCCTACAGAGGGTGCACTGGGCAGACACCCCAAAGACAGCGCCTCCTACTGAGGTTTTGAAATTCATTTTCATTAATAAAAGGTATTTAACATAATGTAGGTTACAAAGTCAAAAAATCCATTAGAGGAAAAGTTTGTCATTTCCTCAAAAAGTTAAACATGGAGTTCCCATCTGAGCCAGCAGTTCCACTTCTAGGAATGAAAACACACGTTCCCACCAAAGCTTGTACGTGAATGTCCGTAGAAGCACTATTTGTAATAGCCAGAAAGTGGAAACAACCCAAATGTCTGTCAACAGATGAATGGGTAAACAAAAGGTGGTCTAGCCAATGAAATACTACTCAGCCTTCAAAAGAAGTGAGGCACGATTCATACGGTCACACAGATGACCTTGAAAACATGATGCCGAGTGAAAAAAGCCAGACACAAAAAGGTCACGTGGCGTGTGATTCTACTTCTGTGAAATGTCCAGAATAGGCAAATCCATAGAGAAAGCAGATTGCTGGTTTCCTGGGGTTGAGTGTAAGGGGATTTGGGGAAGACTGCTAATAGGTATGGGGTTGGGGAGGGGCATGAAAATGTTCTGGATTAGATGTTGGTGATGGTTGCACAACCTCACGAATGTACTAAAAACCATTGATTGACAGGTTTCAAAATGTTGAATTAAAAAAATTTAAGTACCATGAAGTATTGGAACTAGATCTACCAGAAAAGTACAGGAGGGCGTATAGTGGAGAACAGCGGTTCTTGCTGTACGCCTCCGCCTCCCTCAGGCAGCCCACTTCTCGCTCTTGGAGGAGCTGGTAATGGCGGCCTGTGGTCAGATGATAGACCCGCATGTGGGTGTATCAGGCTGCTCCCCGCCAGCATTGCTGGGCAGAATGTCAGCACAGGCCACAGAGAGAATGTAGATAAGAGAAAACACAAACCTCATCCTATCACAGGACCCTGGTTTATCCTGCTCCTCTGAACTCCAAGTCAGATAATATCTTATGCCATTACTTCTTGATTTATCCTTTTTTGTTGTTGTTAATCCTCACCTGGGGATATAGTTTCTATTGTTTTTTTTTAGAGAGAGTAGAAGGGAGGGAGTGGGGGGTGGGAGAGAGAGAGAGAGAGATTGGTTGGTTGCCTCCCGTGCACACCCTGACTGGCCCAAGGATAGAACCTTCAATCCAGGTACATGCCCTTGACGGGGAATTGAACCCAAGACCCTTTGGTGCACAGGCCGAAGCTCTAACCACTGAACCACCGGCCAGGGCCGATGTATCCGTTTTTGCCATCTACCTCTGACTTCCTCTGAAATCCTTTTCTAACCTCCCTTTCCCAACCAGCCAATGTAATGTTTAGCTCCTTTCTTGTTACCTACATTAGTCACTTCCCTCCTGTTCCAACAGGTGTAGCCAGTGCTTCCTGACTCCTTGCTTTGCAAGGGGAGTTTGTCAGTGCCCTCCCTCCCTTTCCCTTCGAACTCCCCTTCACGCCCCACTTCTGACACCTGTATCTCGCTTTCACTTTTCCAAACACGGTCACGTCCAGGTCTAGTCCTGTGACTCACGCTTCGATGCTGGCTTCCATAGGGTGTGCCACATTATGAGTTTTAACCTCTTTCCAGCATTGTGGCCTTTTGACTGTCAGTCACCACAGGGCCAGGCACTGAACTATGGCATCATCTTTTTTAATTTTCTTTCCTAAAAAATATGGAACGCTTCACGAATTTGCATGCCATCCTTGCACAGGGGCCATGCTAATCTTCTCTGTATCGTTCCAATTTTAGTATATGTGCTGCCAAAGCGAGCACGTGGCATCATCTTTTTTTTTTTTTTTTTTTTTTGTCTCATCGGCTCTTACATCTTTTCCTATTTCTGACTTCATTTGCTATCTCTGGTGTTTCAAGAGTTAAGGAGACGAGGGGTAATGTTTTTGAGTCCCAGAGAGAGGAGCAGGGATTGACTCACCCTGATACGTTGAGATTGCCAAGCCAGACCCCAGCCTTCTTTTCTCCATCCCTCCGTGGACTCCTGACTCTCTCTGGAGCCTGGGATGGGAAGGAGGGGATTCACAGAAGGCTGAGCAACAGGACCGTGGTTCCAGCCTTGCTGATTTTCAGCAGCAGAAGGAACAGATGAGGAGGAGGCCGTGTGAAGCCCCTGGTGGCATCAGTCACTCCAGTCCCGTCCCTAAGATGGTTTGTGTTTTCTCCAGGTCGCCCCCCGCCCCGAGGCACCCGGCCAGCCCCAGGGGGCTGCATCCAGCCCAGGGGCCCCATTGAGCAGGTGTACCAGGAAATTGCCATCCTCAAGAAGCTGGACCACCCCAACGTGGTGAAGCTGGTGGAGGTGAGGTGGGGGCAGGGGGAGACAGACACCTGGGAGGTCTGGCTCTGTTATTACCCAAATGCCACATTGGTATTTTCCAGGGAGAGCCACGGCACCTCTGACAGCTTATTGCAGGACTGAGTAGTAATTAGAAGAGAGGCATAATTTTACTTAAAAAAAAATACCTTTATTGATTTCAGAGAGGAAGGGAGAGGGAAATAGAGATAGAAACATCAATGATGAGAATCATTGATTGGCTGCCTCCTGTGCACCCCCTACTGGGGAATCAAGCCCACAACCCAGGCATGTGCCCTGACCAGGAATCCAACCGTGATCTCCTGGCTCATAGGTTGACACTCAACCATTGAGCCACATGGGCCAGACATAGTTTTACATTTTTGCAAATTTTTGTTGTAGTTAATGTCTGGCTTAAGAGAAGATGACTGGGTTCTGGTATCTGCTACTTTCAACCTGTTGTGATATCATGTGTCCTGCGGTTTCTGAAAAGGTGGAAATAGTGATCAGATGGAAGCAGAGGCCATGAGAGAAAGTGCTGTGGCCTGTCCAGGCTGGGAGGCATCATGTCCTTCTGGGGTTGGGGAGAAGGGGGACAGGATTTGAATTTTCACCTTGAGGACCCATTTAGTTGTCTCCCAGGAGACAGGTGGGGTTCTTATTCAACCTGAGACATTTCTCAGGGAGGAATTTGCCCCCTCCCTTTTGAAACCTTTCTGGGTGTTTTAGACCCTTGAGAGTTTGGACCCTTGTTGTGTTGGATGCTGCTTCCTCCCCATTCATATCTTTCTTCTCTCTTCCTCTCCCTGCTCCTGTCTCCGCCTGTTCCATGTGGCTGTGCCAACAGGTCCTGGATGACCCCAATGAGGACCATCTGTACATGGGTAAGACTTGAGCCCTTGCCTTCTGCCACCCTTGCTCAGGCAGCTGTGACTGCCAAAGCCGTGGCATACTCTTGAGGCAGCCCCTGCCCCTGCCATCTCCCTCCAAGGACAGCTTCTCCTTTCCCATTTCAGCTGGGCCCCACAGCGAGCCCCACAGAAAGCAGCGCCCCTGACTTGAAGCAAGAGGTGGCAGGGAGTTCTTGCTGGGACTTTATCTGCATGTCCTATTCGTTCACTTGCAAATATTTATTGAGCAACTACTATATGCTGGGTACTATTCTAGGCACTGAGGATGCCGTGATGAGGAGGAAAGATGAGGCCCTACTCTTAGGAAGCTGACATTCTAGTTGGGGATGACAGTCAACACCTAAATAAGCCAGATAATCAACTTCACACAGATGCTCTGAAGAAGGTTAAATAGGGTGACAGAGAGAAGGATGGAGGGCCCACTTCAGATAGGAGCTAACCAGTAAGCACCTGATTGTCAAGGGTACGGCCCTGTTACATCTGGGGAAGAGCATTCCAGGAAGAGGGAACAGCAGGCACAAAGGCTGGTGGGAGCTTTGTGTGTTTGAACAAAAACGTGGCCGCAGCAGAGTAAACCAGAGAGAATAGGTGGGGGTGAGGGTGAAGGGTATGGGAGACCATGGTGGGGCATTTGGAGCCTTGCGGGGAGGGGCACAGAGGGCCTGGGCCCTGCACGTGGAAATGGAAGGACTTGGGCGTGTCTTCAGAAGCCTCATTTTTAAAAAATGGTGAGGACCTTGGGCAGCTCTCAGTGTAAAGGCTGATGAAGGAAGCAGGCAGGACTAGTTCAAAACTGAACAGCAGGCTGTTGGGCCCCTGAGTAGGTGATTGACAGGTCACATGTCCAGTTAATGTTTGGCTTGGGTAGGCATTCATGAGAGTGGTGCCCATAGGGTTTTTCACTTAAAAAAAATTTTTTTTTTATTGATTTCAGAGACGAAGGTAGAGGGAGAGAGTGAGAGAGAAACATCAATGATGAGAGAGAATCATTGACCGGCTACCTCCTGCACACCCCACATTGGGGATCGAGCCTGCAACCTGGGCATCGAGCTCACAGCTGGGCGTGTGCCCTGACCAGGAATGGAACCCTGAGCTCCTGGTTCCTGGGTTGATACTCAACCATTGAGCCACACCAGCCGAGTGTTTTTCACTTGTTAAGGTGGTGGTGTGACAAGGAGCCAGGCTGACCTTTGGTATTTGATTCCAGTGGTTTTGGAAATCTTTCCAGGTTAACCCGTGAGGCCCGTAGGGAGGTATCAACAAGGGTCCTGCGGCTGCAGGCCAGATCCCAAAGGGTGGAAGACACGACCAGCCTTTCTAGAGGTTAGAAACGTCCCACCCACTGCTCAGCCGCAAGCGTGGTTCAACTGTGAGCGACTGAAAATAGACCTGTTTCAGCAGGCCAGCTTCCCCCACGCCAGCTGATTTATGGTGCTTGGGTGGGAGGGAGGGAGGCGCAGAAATTCATGAGGCAGTTCTTGAGAGTTGAGACTTATATAACCGAGGCAGGCAAGGCCAGAGCTGGGGGACCCGCGCTCCTGTCTGTGGCTTTACCTTCAGTGCTGCTGCCTAGGCTTTTAGCCACAGTCTGAAGCCAGGGCGGAGCTGCCCTACCTCTGTTTTGCTCAATGCTGGTTGATGAACTTAAAAGATAGGAAGGGGCCCTGGGGGAGGCAAGTTCCTTTTCTGGTTCGAACTTTTAAGCCTTGCTTTTGTCTGAGGCTTTGGCCCTTTCTCCTCGGCCACCTCAGCCCTTGGAGAGCTTTGAAAAACTTTTTGGTTTCTTCCATACATTGACTCCGATGTGGGTAGATGATTCTAGAACAACAGACAATTCCATCTCTACTTGATTTTGAAACTCATTATGCTATGTTTTCACTTCCTAATGTATAGCTTCGTATTCCCAGTTCTGTTTGTCCAAGCAGAACAAAATTAAAATAATTATACCACGTCACTCAGTAATTCCACTCCAGGGTATATACTCAAAAGAACTGAAAGTAGTTATCCATATAAATACTTGTACACGAATGTTCACAGCAGCATTATTCACACCAGCCAAAGAGCAGAAGCAACCCAAATGTCCATCAACTGATGAATGGATAAACACAATGTGATCTGTCCATACAATGGAATAGTATGCAGCCACGAAAAGTAACTGAGTATTGATAAATGCTACAACATGGATGAAAACATTGTGCTGAGTGACAAAGCCAGACGCAAAAAGTCACTGTTGTGGGATTCCCTATGTTGGAAATGTCCAGAATAGGCAAATCCGTAGAGACAATGCAGATTAGTAGTTGCCAGGGGCAGTTTCCATATACCCTGGGCTGGGAAGAAACTGACACGGTGTGAAGCCTGTGCGTGTCCTGTGTGAATGTGAGTTCAGAAGGGCTCTGTTAGGTAGCTCGAAGTCTTGGTTTGACTCGAGAGTCAGGAAGGGTCCGAGGGCCATCTGCCCAGAGTGTTGAGTTGGAGCAATATTACCAACTATTCTTGGTCTGTAACCTGACACAGCCCAGCAGCTTGGAGAACTGGGGAGGGGCTGTTGAAACCTGTTCATGCTAGTTTCTTTCTTGAATTGAAACGTTCCTAGGGTTTTTGAGACCCCTGGGGCTATTCTTTGGGCTTAAGTAAATCGACATTGGGATTTTGTCCCTTTAGACCAGTGGTTCTCAACCTTCCTAATGCCGTGACCCTTTAATACAGTTCCTCGTGTTGTGGTGACCCCCAATTTCATTGTTACAAATTGAATATAATTAAAGCATAGTGATTAATCACAAAACAATATGTAATTATATATGTGTTTTCTGATGGTCTTAGGCGACCACTGTGAAAGGGTCGTTCGACCCCCAAAGGGGTCGCGACCCACAGGTTGAGAACCGCTGCTTTAGACTGACACAGTTTAGCATCAGTCATATCCCTGGGACCCCGCCTGTCTCCTGTCTCCCTGCTTTGTTTTCTCTGGGTATCTGATGGGTAGACGTACAGCCAGGTTGGGGTCCTAGGACATCAGAAATCTCTGACCCTTAGCCTCCTGATGGGAACTTAGAAAAGGAGGACATAGAGCGGCTTGGTTTAGTGGGCTGTTTCTTGCTCCAATCCCACTGTTAGTTTCCGTGCTTCTTGGTGTTTTTAGGGGTGGTTGGGAGGAGAGGATGATGGCGAGGAAGATGGATTTCCAGTTCCAATGTAACCATTTCCCCCTTCTCTTCCCTGCAGTGTTTGAACTGGTCAACCAAGGGTGAGTGTCCCCAGCCCTGGCCGGGCTGCTGCCCAAAGCTTCTTGGGCTTGTGAAGCGGGGCGAGGTGATGCTGGGCTCTGCACTGAGAGAAAGCAAAGGCTGGTGTCGGTTCTGCTGCTCATGCGTGTGTCGACCTTTCAGGCCTGTGATGGAAGTGCCCACCCTCAAACCGCTCTCTGAAGACCAGGCCCGTTTCTACTTCCAGGATCTGATCAAAGGCATTGAGTACTGTAAGTGGGGCCTGTGAGAGGAGCCTCTCCCAGGGGTGGGCAGGAAATGGAGAGTTTCTAATTTTCCTCCTAGAGCTCAAGGAGGTGGGCGGGAAACAGAATTGTCTGAGATGCAGAGCCAGGGGAAGCTGCAGAGAACCCACCAGTGGCCATGCCGCTGGCAGCAGAAACTCTTTTCCTGCCACCCAGGAAAATTAGGAGCAATGGCAAGAGTGTCCTGGTAGGGGCTTTACTTCTATTGTCCCTTATGCTCAACAACCCTGAGAGGGGGATCCTGTTTATCTCCTGGGACCTTAGTTTTCTCATCTGTAAAATGGGAATAAAGTGTCTCTCATCAGGGCTGCCATCAGCCAGTGCACATCAGTAGTTCTGATTGGCCGGTGTTTTCTGATTCTGGTTGTTAAACATTTTGACTCTTACCCATGCCTGTCACATTAGGATTGTGTAAACGGGAAGTAGTTAACACAGGGCTAGGCCCCAGACTGGACATTCAACATCTGAAGCTGCTCCTCCTATTCCCATGTCATTGTCGTCATCATCATCATCATCCTCATCCTCACCCCCACCACAGAAATGCAGTTGGGTCTTCCAGACTATAGGATTGGCTCCCCTGTGGGCTAACGTCCCGGAAGGAGCAGTTAGCCAAGTCCCCAGTCTTGCTTCATGGTTCACACTTCAATTCGACCTGCTCTCGTCATTGCTGGTTTGGTGAGCAGGTTGAGTGTAGATTTGTGACAGTTGAGTTAATGAAAATATATTCATTCAAAGGAGACATATGTAATACTCTTTGTAATACTTTAAGCAATAAAACAAAATTTAAATAAAAAAGAAAAAAAGGAAATATATCCATTCAACTGTCACAAATCTTGATTCTTGAAGCTGGGAGCCAAGCTCCACAAAAACTCTCCATGCTCTGTCACTGGGCGACTTAGTTCCTAATTGCTATTGGCAGTTGGTGTTTCCCTTTTTGAGGACGGTGGAACGTCATTGGGGACCCCCTTTTCAGTGCTGTGAGAGGGGGAGGATAGGAGGGGATGGAGCTGTGGGAGAGCAGAGGGGTCCAGCCTGTCTCCATCTCTGGGCTGTGTGGGCCACGTGGAACTCCTCATGTGGTTTTCTTGCCCCCTCTCTCCCATCTGGTGTCTACCCGCTTTCAGTGCACTACCAGAAGATCATCCACCGGGACATCAAACCTTCCAACCTCTTGGTCGGAGAAGATGGGCACATTAAGATTGCGGACTTCGGCGTGAGCAACGAGTTCAAGGGCAGCGATGCGCTCCTCTCTAACACTGTGGGCACACCTGCCTTCATGGCACCCGAGTCTCTCTCCGAGACCCGGAAAATCTTCTCTGGGAAGGTAGGTTTGGACCTGCCGGAGATCCTGAGTTCTGCCTGTATTCGGGTCCTCTCAGTTATAAGTGGCAAGAAATCCAACTCATTGTGGCTGAAACAGTGAATCTGTTAAGTCACGTAGATGAGCAGGGTGCATTTGGCTTCGGGTGGTGGTTAGATACAGAGATTCAAATCGGGATCCATCTCTCCATCTTAGGTCTGTTTTCTTGAATTGGTTTCCCCCCCAGGTGGGTTAGCCACCAGCAGCTCCAGGCTACTTGCTATCCGTTTACCAACCTCAGTAGAAAGACTGTTGGTCTTCTGAAGAGCTCGAGCAAAAATCCTGGGATTGGCTCTGATTGGCCCAGCATGGGTCATGTGCCCATCCTTGACCCAGTCACTGGCTGTGGGAAGTGGTGCTCTCATTGGTCAGTCCTGGGTCATGTCCCATCCTTGATCTAGTCACCAGCTGGGGCAAGTGGTGCTCTCATTGGTCAGTCCTGGGTCATGTGACTACCCAGAGGCTGGGGGCAGGATCAACCCCACCTCACCTCCATGGACTGAGTCCTGGAGAGGTGGTTCCCCGGAGGAAAGCTGGAGGAGTTGAGGCTGGACAGGCAGAGTGGTAGGTGCCCCTCACCACCGTTGTCCCCTCACATGAAGCTCCTTTTTTCTTGCAGGCCTTGGATGTTTGGGCCATGGGTGTGACACTCTACTGCTTTGTGTTTGGCCAGGTAACAGGGTGGGGGTGTTCTGCCTCCTGAGTGTGGCTGGTTTTTATTTCCACAGTTAGATCTGAATATGAAAAAGGATTCCTTCCCAAATGTACATGATCTAGTATAGGATAGTCATATCTGTGAAAACATGAGCTTCTAAAACAGAAGGAATGGCAGAGGCTCTTAGAGGTTGTAAATAATTGATAGATTTAGGGCAAGGACAGCAAATGCTGTCCCCTCCCCACTCCAAAACCGAGACAGACATCACTGATCAGTGACTGCACTTTTTCTCCCAAGCCCAATACAGCTTTGATGTTCTCAACTGTGTTCCTAGAAGCTGTTTGTTGTAGGCATAGAATTGGAGTGGAAGTTAAAATCCATTTGGCATTTTTAATTTAGGGAATACTGTTTTTTCTTTTCTTTCTTTTTTTATTTTGCTCTCTTTTTTTATAGTATTGATATTTAGGGACTTCTATTTTTAAAAAATACGTTTTTATTGATTTTTAGAGGGAAAGGAAGGGAGAGGGGGAGAGAGAAACATCAATGTGAGAGAGGCACATCAACCAGCTGCCTCCTGACACACCCTGATCAGTGATCAGGCCTGCATCCTGAGCACATGCCTTGACTGGGAATTGAACTGGCAACCAGATTGGCAACCTTTTGGTGCACAGGACAACGCCCAATCAACTGAGCCACACCAGCCAGGGCTAGGGGCTTCTATTTTTAACTCTGAAGGTCGGATTGATTGTGTGAGCCGTAAAAGCATGGATTTTCCCGCTTCGTGAGTTTGTGCTCCTGTTGAGGAAAACTTAAGAAACTGGCCCTGTGAGGACATAAAGGGGTTTGTAATCTCCTTCCCTTACCCCAACATTTGATCAGAAAGTTTCAGTCACATAGCAAAGTTGAAAGAATTGTACAGTAAACACCCATGCAGCCGCACCTGGATTCTACCATAAAGAATCTTGCTACTGTACCACCTGTCTGTCCATCCTCAGTCTGTCTTATTTTTTTACATATTTCAGAGTTACCAACATCTCTGCACTTGTAAATGTTTCAGGGTGCAATCCTTAGGTAGAGCTCACTGTTTATTAGTGCTCCTCCCCGCACCCCCCCCTTTTTTTTTTTGGTAAAATTGACATACAGTGAGATGTACACATCTTAAGTGCACTATTGAATGAGCTTGTCAAATACACACCTGTGTCATCCAAACTGCTCTCTCAGGTTAGTGCTCTTAATGGACTCATTTTCCTTGGACAGGAGTGGACCAGGTCACTCTCTGAGACTTTTCCCAGCCTTCTAGGCACTCACATAAGGGTTGCTTTTTCCCGGGCTCCTTCCGGGTCAGCCCTCCCTCCGCTGGGTGAGAGCGTGGATTTGTCCCCCGGCAGGTGGTGCACGAACAGGCTGCGGGATCAGCCCAGCCGAGGCCTGAATCCCAGCTTTGTCCTTGCCAGGCAGGACATGGCACCTCGCTGAGTTTCTATTTTTCTCTCCCGTCAAATGAGAATAATACATACTATTCCTTATGGCTACTGAGAGGATCGACAGAAATCATCCAAGTACTCACTCATTCAACACGTGTTTATTGAGCTACTCTGAGCCAGGGATGTTCCTGGGCAGTGGGGAGACAGCAGTGAGCAAGACAGGCGAACACGCCAGGCCTCTTGGAGCTGATGTTCCAGCGCAGGAGTTCGACAACAAACACACACACACGTAATAAAACGCCAGGGAGAGGCGCGATGACGCGAAGGCCAGGGGTGGGTGCGGCCTGTCTGCCTCAGACAGGAGCTCAGGAAGGCCTCCCTGAGAAGGTGCACTTGGATTCGACACCAGAATGATGGGAGAAAACAAGCCAGGCCAGTGTTGGTGGGGAGAACATTCCAGGCAGAGGGAACAGCCAATGAAACGTTGGTCTTGAGAAACTTCAGTACAAAGCCCTTGCCAATCCCTGCTGTTACTGTGACGACTTCTGAATTGTTCTTGGAATTATTGTTGTTCACCTAGTAGGTGGGTGAAGAAGGGTGTGTGGGGAACTGTCCTTTCCTAGATCAGGCCTCTGGGCTACTTATTTCTCGGTTGTGACCCATGTGGAGTGGCCAGCACAGGGCGGCCTTTACAAGGACAGGCGTGCCAGCCATTGACGGCCGCTCCGACCTCTCTTCGCAGTGCCCGTTCATGGACGAGCGGATCATGTGTTTACACAGTAAGATCAAGAGTCAGGCCCTGGAATTTCCAGACCAGTGAGTATCGCCCGGCTGTCCTGAGTCGCCTCCTGCTCGGAGCCCTGAGTGGTCCTGCGTATCTGACTCTCAAGCTTCTGACGTGTCTCTCGCCCGCAGGCCCGACATAGCCGAGGACTTGAAGGACCTCATCACCCGCATGTTGGATAAGAATCCCGAGTCGAGGATCATGGTGCCAGAGATCAAGGTACTGGGGGCCACTGCTGCCCTGTGGAGTGCGTGCCAGCGGCTTGGCCTGCGTCGTCCGCTGCTTGGAATTGTTTGGCTCGACCCCGCCTTGGCCAGGCCCCTCGCCCCACATCCACAGCATCATGCCCTCCTTGGCACCGCTGCCCTCCCCTGCGCAGGAGGCGGGGGCAGGAGGAGGATCTGGGGCTTGTGTTGCTGTGATTGTGTAAGTGGGATCTGCTGCCAGCTGAGCAGCTAGCACTCTGATTGGCTTCGGCTGATGGCATCCACCCTCCCCGGACCCGACCGACCGGGGCCTCTTTGTGCTGCACACCCTCGCTGCCAAAGGCCTGGGCCCTTGCCTTGACCTTGCCCATCCTTCTGTGAGAAATTGTAGTGAGGGTGGGAGGAAGTTAGTGAACAGTTTGACCCCACTCTCCACCCTGGCCTGCTGAATTCCACCCAGTTCCAGAAAGCACTGTTAGGGGACACCCCCCCCCCCCCCCCACCCCCCCCCCCCCCCGCCCACCACACCCACACACACACTTACACCCAAAACCCCAGCCAATGCCACACACACACACATCTGGCTCGTTAGGAAATCTACAAATTTGCTTGGGGAACCCCTACCCACCTAGCTAACTAGCATTTGAAGAGGGGGAAGCCCCAAAAGTTACCGATGAGGGCTTAGACCCTAGGGGTGTGTAGTGGGGGGCCAGACCCCTGCCTGGGTCCTCTCCGTATTGTGCCCTTCCAGCTGGTCTGTGGTCATTGTGCCTCCGCGAGCCTCTGTTTGCCCTTCTGTAAAATGGGGAGGATGCTGCCTGCTCTGAGCTGAGCTTTCCAGGCATCAGGAAGAGATGCTGAGGAGTGATGGGTGCTCCTCGGGCAACTGCAGGTGGCAGATGCCAAATTGTAGTCACTTCTGCCAAGACCTGGGGCCAGATGGAGAATCCGGTCCATGCACATCCCACCTCGTAGCTCCCTCCCATTCTCTGTCCCTCGTCTCTTCCACGTTTCCCACCATCTTGCTCCCTGCACCCTCTGCTTGGCTTATCTGCTTTCTTGCATGTCTGGCCTCCGGCCACTGCCTCTCCCCTCGTGCATCCCTTCCCTGGCTCCGCTGTCCTGCCTCGGGGAGCCAGCCCTCACCCCTGCTGTCATTCGTTGAAGCTGCACCCCTGGGTCACGAGGCATGGGGCGGAGCCGTTGCCATCGGAGGACGAGAACTGCACGCTGGTCGAGGTGACCGAAGAGGAGGTCGAGAATTCAGTCAAACACATTCCCAGCCTGGCGACCGTGGTAAGGCGGACGAACCACTGACCGAGAGCAGGGACAGAGCCACTGGGGCTGGAGGTGGACCCTGCCAAGACCAGCTGAGACGCAGGCAGGCGTCTGAGGAGCAGACGCTGGGCCTGAAGGTCAGGGGGTGGCTGGCTCTGCCCCAGACCCACTGCCACCAGCCTCTGGGCCTTGGGCGCACATCAGGCCAGGTGCCCGTATCTTCTGGCCTCGGTTCTATCTGCAGCCAGGTCCCTGTGTACCGTAAAGGGGTAGCCCCTCTCCCAGGATCCCACTGCCCCTCCCGGAATGCCTGCTTTCAGAGCATGGCGGGAACAGGAGAAGAAGGACCAGGGCGGGTGCCAGGGATGGAGCTGGAGCCGAGGTCTATGAGCCGGGATTCTCACCCGGTGCATCTCCAGTCTCCAGAGCGAACGGCTTAGCTCATCTCACGTCTGCCGTGTGCACAGCTCCCGGGCTAGCAGAGGGGCTCCCACTTCACACGCTGCAGAAAATCCTTCCCGACTCGGGAGGGTGGGGGTTTGATCCCGAGTCACCAGCCCCTTTTATGGCCTCACACTTGCATCCTAACCCAGGAAGAAGGAGCCAGAATGTGGAGTCCTCAGGCTTAACCCCGGAGACTCTGGGAGTCACCCACTTGCCAATCCCCTACCCATCAGGGTGCCTGGCTCCAGGTGGGAGACCAGGACCCTCAGGGACCCGGATCCAGGCAGCAGTCCTGTGACAGAGTCCAGCTGGCCACCCGCCATGGCCACCTCCAAAGCCCTGGGGTGCATTTGGCCAGCACCGGCCCCGGTAGACAGGCAGGGCCCTGGGCTCCGGGAGGGGCCTCGAGTGACTGCCCCTGTAGGAGCCCAAATGCTGGCTCCTTCTCTCCAGCTTTGCACCTCTCCCCCCTGCTTCCTCACACACTTTCTCTCCTTCTTCCAAATCCTGAGCCCCTTAGCGGGCATCCATTCACATCTTCCTCCTCCTCCCCCACCTGGAGCCTCTGCATGATCTTCACTGTTAAAAACTCCCACACCCACTCTCTCTTTCTCATCCACCCACTGCACCCACGTCCTGTGCCCATAGTGGGGCAGGCGGCTGGCATCAGATCCCGGCGCCCACCGTGGGTGATTCTGTTCCAGGCTTGGGATGTTCTTGGGAGAAGGTGTCTGCCCCTGAGTCTGAACTAGTCCCTGACTGTTCAGGAAGCACTTGAGTGGTTTCTCAGGCTTGTGCTGGGAGCAGGGGTACCATGATGAATAAAACCAACAGGGCACCTGCCATCCTGTAGAGGCACACAGTCAACAAATAGATGTACTGTGTAACTGAGGGGCCTCGAGGTGTGTCCCTCAGGGGGGACATGGGCCAGGTGATGGGTTGAGAAGGCCCCATGGAAGGATCGGCTGTGCGCTGAGAGGTGTGGGAAGCACCTGCAGGATTTGAATCGGGAGCAGCATGATCCGGGTGGGCCTTGGAAAGATCCCATGCGGAGAATGGACTTTGCGGATCTTTTCTTCGTGCTTAACCCTTGGGCAGGCGTGTCTCTTTGCCTAAAACGCAATCCCCTGAGACAGTGGCATCCTTGCATGTTGCTGGTGGGGATATACAATGGCACAGTCGCTGTAGAAAACAGTCTGGCAGTTCCTCAAAACATTAAACATAGTTACCATGTGATCCAAGAATTTCATTCCTGGGTATGCACCCAAGAGAAATGAAAACATTTTGTGTGGAAAACATGTCCACACAAACACTTGGACACGTTCATAGCAGCATTATTCATAATAGCCCAAAAGTAGAAACAGCCAAAATGTCCACCAATCGATGAATTAATAAAATTTATATCCATGCAAAGGAATGGAATACTGATACAGCATATTATAAACCTCAGAAACATTATGCCGAGTGAAAGAAACCAGACACAAAAGGTCACATGCTGTGTTGTTCCTTTTACATGAAATGTCCAGAAGAGACGCGTTCAGAGACAGAGAGCAGATTGGTGTGTGCCAGGGCCCGGGAGGCCGGGGAGGTGGGGAGTGACTGCTAATGGGGACAGGGTTTCTTTGTGGGGTGATGGACATGTTCTGAAATTATAGAGTGCCGACACGAATCTACTAAAAACCATGGAATTGTACCCTATAAAATGGCGAGTCTGATGCTGTGGGAATTATGTTTTAATTTTTAAAAAGTACAGCCCCCTTTTACCTGGAGAGCAACAGTTGGGGTTTTGTGGGTGTGGTCATAGAAGGCTTTCACTGAATGTAGAGGCCTGGCCTTGCAGACGAGGCAGGTCGATGAGCCAGGAGGGCACACCCGCGATGGCTCAGGTGAGACAGGACCAGGTGCAGGCCAGCTCTCCTGGAGCACCGGGTCCCGGGGGGTGGGCAGGCCAAGACTCGATCGTGACCTGACTTGAACATCAGACCAAGGAGTTGGGACCTTGTTGGCAGCCAGGGAGCCATGGGAGGTGTTGGGAGTGGACCAATCAGAATTGGTGATGGCTTTGGCTGCGATATCCCAGATGCTGCCCAGTGTCTCCCAAAGGCCACAAGCCCCAGGAGCCGACCAGGAGCTGGGGGAGGAAGGATGAGGGAGGATGTTACCTGGACTCCCACCTCCCGGTGGCTGAGCCTCCTCTTCTCCCCTTCAGATCCTGGTGAAGACCATGATTCGAAAACGCTCCTTCGGGAACCCGTTCGACTGCAGCCGGCGGGAGGAACGCTCGCTGTCGGCGCCCGGAAACCTGCTCAGGTGAGTGTCCACCTGCCTTCCTGGGGTGGGTAGCTGGGGCCAAATGCAGCGTAGCCCTGTGCAGCCCACTCTGCCCGGGCCCATCCCTGGAGCGGTTCCAGCTGGAAAGACTCAGACCCGGGCACACTGGGGAGGCCAGAGCAGCCTGGCTGTGGTCTCGCCCACCCTGGCTCAGCCGGCCTCCTTGTGCTCATAGCGTACCCACCCAGAAGTTTTACCTTTCTCAGGGGAGTTTCACTTTAACTGGGGAGCTCTTGACAATCAGAAAGCACTTTTGTGGCCCAGAAGCAGGCGTGCTTGATGGGGCATTCAGCCCTGTGCTGGGTGAGCAAGCCAGTGTCCCCCATGAGGGGCCCTACGTGTCTCGGCAGAGCAGTGTCCTCATAATCGCCCTGGCAACAGCTCTGCCAAGCGGGTATTTGGGGTCTGAGTGTCCCAGGGGTGGGGGACGGGCATCCCATGGATCCCAACTGTCCCTTCTCACTTCCCTTTTCCCTCCCCTCTGGCGATTCCAGCAAAAAACCAACCAGGGAATGGGAGCCCCTGTCTGAGTCCAAGGTAAAGCCTGCCTGCCTGCGCAGTAGCCTCTGCCGGGGCCTGGGGGCGGGGGCAGCTGCAGAGCACGGGCACCCCCACCCTGGTGGGCGGCGGACGGGCCTTCCTGCTGCGCCCAGGCTCACCTTGGGCCTCTGGACTGAAAAGCAGGGCACCAGGGGCTTGGACCCGACGGCAGGCGTGCATGTGAGCTGGGGCTGCAGGTGCATGGCGCTCCACCCGGAATGCCCATGAGTTCACTCAGGTCCTACGACCCAGCCGGGCACCCATCTATGCTCAGGACCTGTCAGTGGCACTGGGGCTCTGTCCCAGGGCCCCGTGGCTGCCCCTGCTCTGGGTCGCCCAGGCATGCTGTATCTGTGGCTCTGCCTGCTGCCTCTCCAGCATCCCCCCTTTCTCTGATGGTTAAGACCTAGGAAGTAAGTCCCCTTTCCCGCCTGCTGCCAAGTTGTGTAAGATCCTCTGCCTCCGGGGAGGGTGTAGCCATCCCTCTTCCAAACGTAAACCCGGGTCAGTGTTAGCACCTCCTAGGACAGGTGAGGATGTCGGTCCCTGTAGGACTGACATGACAAACTGCACCTTTTCTGCCACTCAACCCCCAGTGCCTGGCAGGGTAGCAGTTCTTCCCACCGAGCCTGACCCACCACCTCAGCCTCAGCTGGGAGCTCTAGGCAGCCATTTCTGTGATTTAAATGCAACTTTATTGACATATAATTCACATACCATACAATTCACCCATTTAGAGTGTATATTATATTTCAATGGTTTTTATTTTTTACTGTTTAATTTAAAAAATATATGTGTGTGTGTGTGTGTGTGTGTGTGTGTGTGTTATATATACTATTTCAGACAGGAAGGGAGAAGGAGAGAGAGAGATAGAATCATCAGTGATGAGAGGGAATCATTGATTGGCTGCCTCTTGCACACTCCCTACTGGGGATCGAGCCTGGGCATGTGCCCTGACCAGGAATCAAACCGTGACCTCCTTGTTCATAGGTTGACACTCAACCACTGAGCCATGCTGGCTGGGCTATTTTTAAATTTTTTTAACTTATGATTTGAGAGAGAGAGAGAGAGAGAGACTGATGTATTGTTCCTCTTATTTACACATTCATTGTTTATCCTTGTACGCGCCCTGACCAGGGAATGAACCCGCAACCTTGGCATATCGGGACGATGCTCCAACCAACTGAGCTACCCAGCCAGGGCCCAGTGGTTTTTAGCGTGTTCACAGAGTTGTGTAGCCGCCCAACTCCTCCGTTCCCCAGCAACCACTAATCTACTTTTAGCTTCTATGGATTTGCCTATTCTGGATGTTTATGTAAATGGAATCACACAGTATGTAGCCTTTTGTGTCTGACTTTCGCACTCAGCATCATGTTTTCACGGTTCATCTGTGGTGTAGCAGGTGTCAGTGCTTCGTTCCTTTATACGGCTGAGAGATATTCATTCCATTGTATGGAGAGAACACATTATACTTATCTATTCATCTGGGGATGAGCACTGTTTGGTTATCACGAATGAGTAACGCTGCGATGAACTTGCACAAGTGTCAGCTTTTTCTTGTTAGGAATTGGCTTAGATGAAATTTATTGGCCTCCCATACATAGAAGTCGGGGCTTATGTGGTAATGTAGGAGGAATGCTTGTTTGGGGATTTTTAAAAAATATATATTTTATTGATTTTTCACAGAGAGGAAGGGAGTGGGATAGAGAGTTAGAAACATCGATCAGCTGCCTCCTGCACATGCCCTACTGGGGATGTGCCTGCAACCAAGGTACATGCCCTTGACCAGAATCGAACCTGGGACCCTTCAGTCCGCAGGCCGACGCTCTATCCACTGAGCCAAACCGGTTAGGGCTTTTGGGGGATTATTTATGCTTCTCTGGGGCAGTGAAAGCAGCAGTTAGCAATGAGAGTCATGTGTCACCAGCCTGCGAGGCTGCCTCAGTCCCCGCCGGATGTTCCCATATGTCCCTCCTACAGAAGCATAATGGGCTGGCCTTTCTCTTCTCAACCTCAGTTTTAGGGTTTGCCTGCATGTCTGTGTGCAAGACTGTCGTTTTTAGTCTTTTATTCTCAATGAGATCAACATTGCAAGACATCAGCAGACTGAAATTGGCCCAAAGCGCTTTACTGCCCCTTTATTCTCTCATCTGCAATCCCAGCAACACCTGGGGGTTACCTGCCCTTGCCCTCAGCCCCCAGGTGGGATGCTTTGGTTGTCCAAAAGGTCCGGCACTCTGGACCTATAAGGCTTAGTCAGTCCTTGGAGGCTTGGTCCCAAGTCCCATCTGCAGCAAGACCGGCCAGTAGGGCAGAAACTGAGGGCCTGCTTGGGCATCGAGGGACCGATCCCTGGGAAACTTGACCCCTCTGGTTTGGCAGAAACATAAAGCCAATGAGTGATTTTTAATCAAAGAGGGTTTCTTCCTAGGAATGTTCAGGCATCACCTTTTCCCTTCCCATGCGTGGGGGCCGTCTCCCTTCTGGCCAGCGGCACTTAATGGGCACGAGTCCTGTGTGAGAAGCGCAGCGGCTTCCCTTAGAAATGGCAGCTGTGCCTGATGGTGTCAGAGGGTGTGGGCCTCTGTGAGGGATTTCCCCTCACATCTCCATCACCCCACCCTTGTCCGTCACCCCAGGCAGCTCTGGCGGCGGAGCTTCAGGATCTGGCTCTCTGGGACACAAGGACACCTTTCCTCCCGCCAGCGTGGTCTGCTCTGGTTCCTCACATCGCCAAGAGGGGGCCCTTCTCTCTGCCAGGGGTGTCCCTTAGGCCTGTTTGCTGGGGAAGTGCTGTTTTCTTTTGACAGCTGGTTCCCGATGGCTGGCTGTGTGGCAGGCCCAGCCCAGGCGGTCCTCACTGTCCCCAAGAAGTTCACCTGGTGACAGGAGACAAGGGTCATGGTTCCTGTCCTGCAAGAGTCTATAGCCGAAGGGGAGGGGGTCCAGATAGCAAACACCCGCAGTGAACACGCTGCGGAGTGGGGCCCGGGCAGTACTTGTCTGTGCCGCGATTTTAGGTGTCACACGCACAGGTTTGCATGCGTGCTTATGGTTCCTTGCTATTGTTGGCACAGGACGCTGGTTTTCCATTTACAGAGGGGATACAAATCTCCTTTGAAAATTGTCTCTGAGGCCCTTCGGGACTGGGCTAGACTGTTGGAGACTAGATTCTGCTCTTTGGGGCGAGGCTCAACTCTTCGGACCTAGGGTTAGCCCTTTCGGGACTAGCTTTGGCCCCGTGACGCGGCTGGCTCTTTGGGCCTTGTCTGGGCTCCTCGGGGCTAGGCTCCGAAATTTGTGATTGGGCTCAGCTGTTTGGGAATAGGCTCTGCCCTTTGGGACTAGGTTAAAAAAAAAGAAAGAAAAGAAAAAGAAAATTGTATCTGAGAAAAAAGGAGGAGAGAATCTAGAACAGCCGTGGGCAAACTACGGCCCGCGGGCCGGATCCGGCCCGTTTGAAATGAATAAAACTAAAAAAAAAAAAGACGGTACCCTTTTATGTAATGATGTTTACTTTGAATTTATATTAGTTCACACAAACACTCCATCCATGCTTTTGTTCCGGCCCTCCGGTCCAGTTTAAGAACCCATTGTGGCCCTCGAGTCAAAAAGTTTGCCCACCCCTGATCTAGAAGAAGAGGTTGTGTAAATAGCTTTGGACCTGGAGGTGCCGGTTCCGGGCTGTGCCAGCACTGCCCACTCTTAACCTTGGTTTTCTGTTTGGTGAGCAGGAAGCACGGCAGCGAAGACAGCCTCCAGGGGCCCAACCCGGCCCTCGCGGGGGAGGAGGAAGTGCTCTTGTGAAAGGCGGTCGGCGGCGTATGGAGAGTTGGGGGGCCTTGGGCCCTGGCCACCGAGCGCGCATGCATCCTCTGCGGCCAGACGACGCCATGGAGTAGCTGCTGGACGCCCGTGACCTCGCATGCTGGGTGTCTCACCTCCAAGGCTCGCACCCTGCGTTTCCATAGCAGCATGTCCTACGGAAACTGAGCACGCGTGTAGAGCCTTGCCCGTCATCTCCGGTTGTTTGTTTTTTTGTTTTGTTTTCCTTTGTTGTTTTAAAGGGGACAAAAAAAATACACACCAACCCACAAAACACTCCATGACATTGACCTTGGCCGCTGGCTGGCTGAACAGGCAGGTGTGAGGAGTTGCAGACCCAGAGCCACATGCATTTTGGGACAGTTTGCTTTTTAAAACAACGTTTTTATGTCAAAAAATCCTTCGTTGTGAACCAGGAACCACGTCAGATACACCGAGAGAATGTGTGTGGGGTTTGAAAATCGTGAAAAACTGGCTGAAAACTCAGAAGGCATGGCCTGAGACCACAGAGTGAGTGAGTTGCTGTATTTGAAAGGGAGAAGAGTGGACGTGACTTCCCATGCAAACCCCAAACCTAAAAGCACACCACCTTCCAGAACCGTGGACTCAAGGCAGCGAGGCAGGGCTAGCCCTCAGTAGCTGCAGGGAGCTTGGATGCAACCTATTTGTAAGAAGGACTTGAACATTTTTTAATTTTACTTTATTTTGTTGTGACTGGAATTGTCAGAAAAACAGAAAGGGCTTGATGGTGAACTGTTTCACAGAGGGGATTGTCAATCCTAAAGGGCATTAGTGGTGGTGGTGGGAGACGTTTTGCTTAAAGGACTTGAATGCATACAGGGAGGCGGCTGACCTCTCTTAGTAAATCTCTCGTTCAATTACAAAAACATCAGGGTGAAATCCTCTACTTCCATGGATATTACATGGCTTGAGAGGGAACAAACAAGCAAAAATGGTTACTTCTCCAACTAGACTGAACTCCAGAGTAAGTCAGAAACCATCTATTCTAGAGCTTCCAGGATCTAGTCCCCGGCTTCGGGCGTGCGATCGGAGTTAGAACCCATGAAACCCGCGCTTGTATATTAGCAGCTTAGCTTGTTTATAGCCTGTGTAATTCTAGACACTGAACGTTTTGTTCTCTTCTTAAATACTAGAGGAGTGTTGTCGTTAGTCAAACAGTATATCCAGTTCCCGGAGGTCCGGTTAGGAAATACTTTCATTCGACCGAGACACAAATGATCATCCGTACCAGCAAAGCTCTGTTAGGAGACCCCCTGGGCACCCTCTGAGAGAAGGCTGTGGAAATCCAGAGCACTCCTCAGGGTCCAAGGAACAGGGGCTTGGCACAGGACCTTCCCTTTCGCAGTCAGAAGTCCAGAAAGAAAAGGTTTATTTTTTTTGACCTTCATCTGATATTGAGAAGTGCGGTTGCAGTACAAGTGGGACTTCTTCCAGAGCCGCAGGTGGGCGAGTGTGAAGGTCAAGGGTTAGGAAAAATGGGAAGACTTTGTCCTGGGAGATTCCCGGTGCTTTGTGGAACCCGGGGAAACACTGCATGCTTTCCGTTGTTCCTGTGTGGACGGCCTTGGTATGAGGACATTTTGCAGAGAGAGAAGCAAGGAATCTCGGAGCCCAGGCATTCTTGGCATCCGTAGATCTTGAATGTAAGCTCTTGACTGTCAGTTAGCCAGTGTTTTCTCGTGATCCTATAACAATAGTACAGAATGAGGAAGTGCTGGTGTCCAACGATCAAAGGATACCTGTCTGATGGAGGGTCCTCTCGCCTGCTTGCTTGCTTGCTTTTTGTAACCTGGTACTTCCTCCTGCCCTCCCTCCTATGCTGTTTCAATGTGTGGGCCCCACTCCTTCCGGGAGCAGCTGGGGCCTGGTTAGGCTGCAGTAAGCACCTCGCAGTGGTTGAAGTCAGCCGGTCCTGGGTGTTTGTCCCAGCTTGTTTGTATGGACTCCGGCCTGGCGGGTGGCTCGTCCTGGGGAGGGCGGGCAGCGCGCAGAGCTTCTGCAGAACTCCTGTGTTTACACAGCCGCGTCGGGCAATGCCATCTCCCCCACGACACTTTCGGGGCAGGTTTCACATGTGCAATGCCCGACATCAGGCAGCACCCAGCTATTTTGGCGGTGGGTTGGGGGAGGCCCAAGTTCATAACTTTATTATTATTATTATTATTTTTTTTTTTACAAAGAAACACCAAAGAAAGCTGTGGAAAGGAACTGGCTGCCACCCCCAAAAAGCCTAAGCAGAGAGGGCTGTACCATAAGGTGTTAATTACCACTCCCTTGGAGCACAAACATTGGTTTTTCAAAAGCCAGCTATCAGGAGAGGGGGAGCTATTAGGAGCAGCATTGCAGGTGAGCCAAAGGCTGCCCGTCCGTTTCTCCCGTTGCTGGCTCATCTGTGGGACCACTTTGGTGTGTAAGCAACCTGTGGCCTGCATCCGGGCCTTGAAGGAAGCACAACTTTGCCATCTTTTCCTCTGCCCTGTTGTACACCTCCCCTCCCCCTCTATTCCGCTGGCTTACCAGTGGCTCCCATAAAGCCTTATCTAGCCCCTTGTCGGCACTGGGGGCCCGAGAGGCTGTCTCCCCGCTAGTCTGGCCTTTCCTGGAGTTAGGGCTCCTGTCCTCAAAGCCTTTCTGGACCAAGGAGGCGAATACCTGTGCATTTAGACACATAGGTTCGACCTGTCACTCTCACCCATCTTCCAAAGGGGAGCTTCACGTTGCCAGGGGGGAAGAACCATGACCTCCACTTATTTCTAAGGTGCTAGGGAAAGGTTCCAAGGTCGTCGGTCCCCATCTTCCCTCCAGCTTTACGGGCCGAGTTTCGTGGGACTGCTGACTTTTCTATCCTGTGATTGATTTACTGCCCGATGCTTCTGTTTCATTCCTGATCCTTTCTACTATGCATTTTCCTTTTATCAGGTGTACAAAGTTAAATACTGTGTATTTATCACTTAAAAAGACATGAACTTGAGAAAAAATAAGCCTTTGGTGTTTTTCCACAGATGTTTAAGCTTCTCTGTAAACTTGAAATAAACAAGACAGCCAAAATGGTGCAAAGCCGGCCTCCTTGGGATTTTTCTGTTGGTCGTGAAGTCGGCACCCTCTAGGACATCTGTCCTTACCTCTGTTTTCCTTCCTTAGGTTGACGTGAGATCAAATGCCAGGTCAAGGCTAATGTATCCAGCGTTACGTTACTCATCCCTAATTTAAGCATGTCCTGGTGTCTTGCTCAGAGTGTGGTCCCCAGACCAGCAGTGTCAGCTGCACTGGGTGGTGGATTAGGAATGCAGACTCCCAGGCCTCACTTACCCAGGATCCCCAGGTGGCTGGTCTGCGAGCTGAAGTTTGAGAAACACGGCTCTAGCAGGCAGGCGATTGTTTGATTTTTCTGGTGGAGATCAAACAGGTGAGCAGCTAGTTTTAATGAGACATCAAACGCCCCAGTGGGTAGGCCTGCTACATGACATTTCACACGGTAGGTATAATTAACCCCATTTTATGGGTCATCGCCTTTGCCCGAGCTTGTCGGCAAAGTCAGTGTTTTACAGCATTTCCACCGTTGCCAGTTTTCATGGCGTCTGGAGACTGTTTTGGAACGAATGGTTTCTCTGGACTAGAGGCTGAGGGTGCTTGCTTGGCTTTGCACCTCCGTTTTCTGTTATCAAAGGCAGCAGATGAAGTCTGAAAGCTTCCTGTTCCATCGCTGCAGAAATCCAACGATGAAATACTGGCCGCTAAGAGTCAAAAGCAGGTGTTCTCATTAAAGCCACACTGAGAACCCGGGCACGGATGGGCCTGGTCAGTTTGCAATAAGCACCTTGCGGTGGTTAAAAGGAATCTGATGAAAGCTGAAAGAATGCACACAGCTGCATCACTTTGCAAAGTTTTAGGGGTTCCAGAGACTCCCGGAAGCCCATTTCTGATGCAAGGGCCCCTACTTAAGAGGCAGTGCCACCAAGTGGGGACATAGCTGAACCAAAAGCTGACTCTGGTGAATGAAATAATCAATGCCACCCCCAGCCCCCAGCCGTCACCCCAACTGGCCCTATCATTCTGTCTTAGAAAGAGGGAGGCTAAAAGGAGTCTCCTCCACTCCAGTAACCATCACTCCTTAGCCTGCAAGGTTCGAAGCCATTCCTAAAACTTCCAGCTCCATTTGAGCTGTAGGTTTAAGTGGGCGTTTTTTTTAAAAAAAAGGTAGCATGAACCAGAGTTTTTTCAGAGGGGTTTGGTAAACCTTTTTTAAAAAATGTTTTTATTGGTTTAGAGAAAAAGGAAGGGAAAGAGAGAGAAACATTGATGAGAGAAACATCAATTGGCTGCCTCCTGCATACCCCTACTGGGGATCGAGCCTGCAACCTAGGCATGTGCACTGGATGGCATTCAGCCAACTGAGCCACCCCAGCCAGGGCCAATAAACCTACCCCCGCCCCCCAAAGTAAGAAAAGCCCAAGTTGGTCATTTGCCCACCAGAGCAGAGCCCTTTAAAAATAAGCTGTTCCTTCAGTGCTCGGAAATGAATGCATGACGAGGGGGAGGGCAAGCTGCTGTCTTTAGGGAGACCTTGAACACCTGGTGCAGAATGAAGTCAGTGTGAAGGCTAAACTAGAAATAGCTTCATTAACATTTCACACTAGTGGCAACGGAGGTGGAGGTGGTGCTGCTTCTGGTCGGAAGCTTCTGGAAAGCAAATGGGGTCGGAGGAAGAGAAGCCGTTGTCATGTTGCCTAAAAACGTGCCCCCTAGAGTGTATATAGTGCCGTCATATTAGGGAAATTGTAACCACGGGTCAGGCGAGCTGTCCCTAGAGAAAAGAAATCTTGTAAACCCTGCAAGAACACAGCCTGATGAAGATCAAAATCCTTGGGCCTTTAAGAGAAAGCTGAAGTAGGGAAAAAAGAACCTAGGCTCCAGCAGCAGACTGAGCACAATGGGCTGGGACAGTGATGGCGAACCTATGACACGCGTGTCAGAGGTGACACGCAAACTCATTTTTTTGGTTGATGTTTCTTTGTTAAATGGCATTTAAATATATAAAATAAATATCAAAAATATAAGTCTTTGTTTTACTATGGTTGCAAATATCAAAAAATTTCTCTATGTGACACGGCACCAGAGTTAAGTTAGGGTTTTTCAAAATGCTGACACGCCGAGCTCAAAAGGTTCGCCATCACTGGGCTGGGACAACAAACGGATTTACTAGGGGAGGAAAGAAGAACGTTTTAGCTCGTGCTAGGAAACCACGCAGATGGAGATTAAGAAAATCATTTGTTTTAATGTTTGGTCCTCAGTCATCTCAACATACCTCTTCTCAAAAGAGAAACACTCACTCCGCCTCATGATTACGCGGACAAAGTCTGGCAGGGGGAGAGCAGGTGGGCATGCCACGCGTCCTTGCACCTGCACCGCTGGACCTGCCCTGCAGGGGGCGCTCCAGGAGAGCTGAAGAGAGCTGGCCCTGAAGAAGGCCCCAGCCCTGTGGCTTCAGCGGCGTCACTGCCCTGGGGCCACAGCTCACCCAAAGGATCCCGAGTTGAAGGGTCAGCAAAGGTGACCCAGCCAAGAACAGGGTGGTTAACGATGCACATCTTGCAACACAAAACGAGAGCATCTGGGCAACCCTAAAGGACTTGTGTGGAGTGGAAACTGACTCAGAATCTCGAACTTTCCCTGGGGTGCCATGGAAGCCTTTTCTCCCTTCTCTTTGATTTCTCCTTTGCTTTGATGAGTGCCGTGGGGAGCCCAGATGTGGGGTAGACATTACTGGTCCATCTCATTGTTGATACCCTGCAAAAAATGACATATTTGCCATTAATTGATATGCTTATGGATAAATGTACACTCACCCAGCGCTGCTGCCCGCAGGCAAGCCTGGAGCATTCTGGGTGGCGAGGGCCAGGTGCTTTTGCTGAGGACTTGAGACAGCCCTTCATAGCCGCAGGCACTCAAGTTGGTCCTAGTGCAGTGGCTGCAGAGCATGGTTCCCAACCCCTTTTGCTATGCAAGGCAATTCTGTTGTAATATGTTATCATAACTCACCACAGATGTCACCAATTAAAAGAGGCTAAATTTTATTTTTAAAAATGTTTTTAATTTTTTTAAATTAATTTCAGAGAGGAAGGGAGAGAGAGAGAAACATCAATGATGAGAGAGAATCATCGATTGGCTGCCTCCCACATGACTGGGAATTGAACCCGCAACCCGGGCATGTGCCCTGACCAGGAATCGAACCGTGACCTCCCAGTTCATAGGTTGATGCTCAACCACTGAGCCACACCGGTCGGGCAGATTTTAAAGAGTGGGTCCATGTGAAGTAAGGACTAGGGCAGGTGTTCTGGAGCTGGAGCAGGTGACACGGGTGGCGTGGGACTGCCGGGGGTGTCAGGCCCAGCGCTCAGTGTTGTCACCACTGGTACCGGAGGCAAGTGAGATAAGTTCGGGGGGTGGTCTACCTGCTCGTACTCTTCCACGTATTTGTACTTCTTCTCCCGGTAGTAGTATCTTTTCTTCATGCAGTAGAGGACTATGACGTCACACAGCACTGTTGCCTGAAAGAACGAGCCAGGATGTGTTAGTCCCTGTTTCTGTGCCTGGGATCTTCCAAGGAAAAGAAAGTCTCCTCTACCTCGGTGGAGACAGCCAGGCCCTGAGGGGTGCAGTCCTCCAGAAGGGGAAGTGGGAGTGGGGGTGAGGGTGGGGGGCGGGAAAGAAGCCCAGAGGGTGGAAGGGAAGGCCAGGCTGAGCCGAGGGGCTTGCCTGCTGTGCCAACTACTGCAGAGGGCCCCAGTCCAGGGGTGAACAGCGTCTAAGTCACTCACCACCCCGAAGAGCGCCAAGCCGGAGCCAATGTTGATCATGGTTGGGATGATGTCAAATTTCCCAGCCTGCAAAGGACAG